GAGTTCCTTCATCCATCGGGTGTTCCCCATGTCTTCGAGCATTGCGCTCTCTCCAGACACTATGAGCCAGCGTTTGAAAAGCATAACGAAGAAGGAAATTCACAGTAGAATTGTAACCAGGGTTAGCAATAATCGTGATTATCTCACTCCATTCCGTAGTGAACTTCTCCTTCATGATCCCACCTACCATCTCATACCAAATCTTTCTTGTATAACAACAATCAATACAAAAACAATCATGTAAAATATTTGAATATCGGTTTGTAGACCTTTTTTTACCAAGGAAAATAATAATTGCAAAAACATGAATGATATAAACACCGAGGACAACAAGCAAAGAGTGTCAGTAAAATAATTCACATAATGCATCGAGCCATATGAGAAAAAATTTGACAAGTTGCATTTAATAATTTTCCAGCACTTTGCAGAGAGGTCCACTGCTCTGTATTTTCTCTCCTATCTGACACCTTTTTGTACCCTAAGTTTCATCTATTTTCGATTTCGACCCCTCATTTTAACATCTTGATACAGACAACACCTCAGTCTTTCTTTAATGGGACCTCTTAAACACAATAAAAGTAGAAAAGACCTTCACTTCTGACTTCTGATCAACTAAGATGGATCCGTACCGTACATGCTCAGAAACCCTTGATCAATTATTACGCAAACCTATCACGATTTTTCATTTTCACCATGCAATCTATATTTTTTCTTTTTTCTACTTTTACCTCTCTGCCGAATCATTCTCTCTGACTTCTTTGATCTAAAAAAGAGAATACTATAATTTAGCAATTGATACGAATATCTCTAAAAATCTTTTTCGATAACCATCGGACAGAAGCAATGAATCTTATGTCGGATCCTCTGTTATAGGTGTTTCATCAGTTTTGTATCTACTTATGTCCTACTAGTCGTTGGTTATAGCATGGTGTTCAGTTCTAATTGGTTTCAGACTGGTACTTTTAGCTAAATGCACTACGTGACGATTGATTCAAAATTAATTTAAAACTTACTAATTTGATCACTCATTCTTTGCAAGATATATTTTTAACAAGACTTCAAATGTCTCTTAAATGGATGGGAAAATATGTACAACATGTACATATCATGTTATATTAACATGTATTTATGATATTAGATTAAAACATAGATCATTATTCTAGACAATGAATAGCAGGATAACTTCAAATAAATAAATAAATGATGCGCATAGATAGACTAACCTGTACCTTGTTACGTTTGAACATTTAGAGAAATTCAAAGAAAATAAGAATACAGAGACATAAATATTTGATTGGGATCATTCTTTTTGTGCTATTGGATTGTTGTCTCTTTACTTTTAGTTTGGGAGATCACATATACAAAGCTAAGGGCAGAGTTGGTTTGTACACTGCCGTAGAGTGAATTAATTAAGCCAGAATAGCTCATTTGATCATCTTAAACGTATGTTTTTGTCTTCTAAATTTTCCACAGCGGAAATGGTATGTAATTTTTGTGAGATAAATACATAATTTTATTTTAGTTGATCATTTATGTTGCCGTTGTTTCTGGTCTCATATTCACTTAATTATTTTGTATACTGACGAACTCGCTTGATACAAATCATCAGTTACAACAACAAATAATATTCACAAGTTTATTAAAAAAAATCAATAATAACATTAATAATAATAATAATGTTTAGAAAGCTAAACAACAATTTAATTAACCCATGCCCACGGCCCATTTAAATGGTCCAATTTAATTAATTCATCCGTTTTGTATTGGTTTTCTAAAGATGTGGGTTTGTCGCTCTCAGACTCGCTGGTTTTCTAAAAAAAATGAAAAATTGTCAAAATCAAAGAGTAATGAGCACTCACTCACTACGGAAAGTGCTTACTCGCTACAGGTGCGCGTGGGCAAACTTTAAATGTATTTTTGTATCACTAAAATTTTTTTTTTTTAATTTTCTTTTTCATATATGTGATTATATATTCACATTCTATTAGTTGGAAACTCCATTTAACAATTTTGAAGATTTTAAAATTTCTAAATATGTTGATCTAGGAGGAACAATAGTATTTCTGATATCATGATGTTTTCTGCTTTTTAATAGAAACTGCGTGTGGTTTTGTTCTATTCTTGACATCACGGTGTCTTATGCATTTAAATGGCAACATCATGTAGTTTTGTCATTTAATTTTAGCATGGATTTTTTTTTTTTTTTTTTTGAACATAGCATGGATTAATTTCTCCACTAAAATTTCAGAAAGGATTCCATTAATAATGCATGCTCCAGTACAAAACAAGAATTTATATGAGCCAGAGATTCTGTATAGTACTATTACTAACATTATTATAGAGATGACAACTATAATAACATTAATAATAAAAATAATAATGTTTTTAGAAAGCTAAACAACAAGGATTGGAACATGTATTTTTACAATTGCAAAAACAACAACAAAGCCGTAACTTAGGACATTTAAAACAAGATGACCATTTGATCTTGCAGTTGCAACTGCAACATGAGCTCTTCTTCTTATTAAGACACGATGGTCGACTGCAACTACGGAAACAGGTGGGTATGCAACAACACAAGTCCGGACAAGTACAACAACAACAACCTCGGAAGCATGAACAGCTAGGGCAGCTGGGGCAGCTCGGTTTCGGGCAACAACAGCTGTTTGATGAGCAGCAGGACCCGTTACAGCATTTGGAACCAATGCAGCTACAACATGTGGAGTTGCAGCATTTTGGCTTCCTCAGATGGCACGAACACTCGGATCGGCAACAACAGCAGAAACTCGCCACGCTCATACACGGGAAACTGCATAAAATTAATTAATTAATTATTCTTATTTTGTTATTTACTATAGCCATCTAAGATTAAGCATTGTCTAAGAATTTTTCAAGGATAAATTTATATTAAACATGTAAATTGTTATTGTAAATTCATTATCTTAGAAATGAAAGGATGCGTATTTTATATACGTATTTTCTAAAAATTAATTTAAAAATAAAAAGTAAGTGAAAATATATCACAAATGATAATGAGATAAATTAAATACCAGAGCCACTTCCAGAACCGGCAGTGTCGTTGACTCTTTCGTTGTCTGTCCGTTTGAGGAAAAAAAAACAACGATAACTGTAAGAGCAAGTCAAGAGAAAGAATGATGTGAAGTGACCTAGTGAAGTTTTAAAACATTCTTACGCAGGTATCAATGGGTCAGAATTTGCAACCACAAAATCAGAGACCCTGCCACAGTAACATATATGAGATTCCATATTACATTTTTCTTTTGTTAAAAATAAACCAAAGTAAATAAAATTAATAACTTTTTTTGAGAAATAGAGAGATCATCTTACTCTTTGCAGCATCTAGACGCCGGTTGTAAGCCTTCAACGAATTTAATTTCTCCCTGCTCATGAGGACAGTCAAAATATCAGTTTACGAAACTTCATTAACTAAAGGCTAAAGTGTATTTTATTGGGAAAAAAATAGAGGAACGGCTTATTTCATAATGGAACAAAACACAACTCAGCAAGATTTTTTTCACATTTCAATAGTATCAGGAGAAACCAAACGTATAGTGTAAAATTATTTAATTTCTCAAATATATGAATAAATGCATTATAGAGAGTAAACATAAGGGAGATCTATGAAAGCAACATGACGAAAAGGAGAACATGTATATGGTCCTTTCAAACGCAAATAGCAATAAAGACAAAAACTTTCACAAATTGATTCATTATAAATATAAAAACTGCAAAGGAAGCTAACCAAATTCAATATGTTTATTTTCAAGATCTACTCAGCTTTCTTTCTACTTTGCTTCACTAATGCTTCCCTCTTTAATTCTCTCTTTTTCTTTTCTTTTTTTTTTTCTTTATATTTTACCTTTAATACTATCTTTGACTAAGCACTCACTTTCATAGTACACATGCACGAACGAACACATACGCCTCAGTGATCCAAAAACTAGAGTAAATGGACGTCTCATAAATCACTTCACACTACAAGATGATCAAACTTTTTTTGTTATTTTTCTTACTTGGTTTTCAAAGTTATTTTGGATATTTAATCTTTTTGACATGGATATTTAATCTATGTCAGTATTATGATTATGAAAGTTAATTAATTTTAGAAAACTGATTATGAATTAATTGGGTTAGACTAGAAGTTAAACAAAAAGCATAGTAATCCAATTAGTTTAGGTTACAATCAACATATCCGTTGAAAGTTCCCCTAAATTAACACATTTTAAAAAACAAGAGTCTCTTCAATAATTCATTTCTATCAAAACATGCAATTAATTTGAATGGGGAAAGTCTTGCATACATAGTACGTGTTTGAAATTAATTTGATATAAATGTGTCTGGTGACACAAGTTAACTACTGTTTTTTTTTTTTTTTGCATCTAAGAGAATAAATTAATTAAATGTCTTGTTTACTATAAGAGTTCTCTTACTATAACTGGTGTCAAACATAACACAACGGTGCAGAGACCAAACAAACCTTGATATAGTAGGGACCAAGTAAAGTTTTAGCATATTAATAACCTATTTTCTCTCTCACACACAAAACTCAAACAAATACTACTAGTGATTATTTAAAAGGTTATCAAATTATTAACGTAATTAAGAGTACTAGTGATTAGTTAATTTTATAGTCACAAGCTAGTAGTACCATTTGTTTAAATTATTAGTAGTAATAAAACAGATGAATCATGAAATTCAAAATATTCGGACACTTCCTCAGAGTTATCAAAATGTGGCAGATTAAACAAAAAAAGACAGAGATAGTACTCTTTTAAAGAAAAGAAAAAAAAAACAGAATCAAGAAAAAAGAAAATTTAACTTGCCTCGAGAAAACCAATCTCTCTCTCTAGCATCTGAACTCTCGCCGCCTCTCTACGTTTCCCATACAAATCTGGATACGGCGGCGGAGACTTGGGGCGAGGCGGCGGTAGAGAAGACTTAGCAGGAGCCGAACTTAATTCACCTGCTACTTCTCCTCTTACACTGCATGAAGGAGAAGCCATTGTGGTCGGCGATTATCTTCTCCGGTATAGTGTAAACTCCAGAGAGAAATGGTTCGAGTCAAGAGAAAAACATGCAGTGATCACGAGAGAAAGATGAAAAAGAGAGGAAGAAGAAGCGGCGAGTGAGAAAAACAATGCAAAGAAATCAAGAAAGAGAGGTGAGTGAGAGAGACTCTTTGTATAGTGAAGAAAGTGGGTGGCAGAAGCAGTAATTATGGCATCTGACAAGGATAATTACTTACCTTCCTCTGCCCCTTTTAAGGCTCCGTGTCTCTTTGGTATTTGAACTTTTATTATATTTTTTTAAACTATATATTCGGTGGGGGTACTATACTATAACAAATGTTTTTGTTTGTACAAAATACTCTTGTTAATCCAATTAATATTTGAACAAAAAAATGCTATTAATATATTTATATATTAAATTAAAAATCCTATTATATATATACATATATCTATATCGAACTTTGATGCGTAATTCTTAATGACTTTTCATAAATCTTTGTTTATCTAGCACATTATATTTTGATTTTTTGGTCAACCATTTTATTTTGATCAAGGTCAACCAGTTTATTTTGATTATAGTTCTGGTGGTTTGGGTTACACATATAACAAGACTAATATAAATCATATATTATGTGTCATCTAATGTAAGCTCATCTTCTTCTTTTTAATGTTCAATACTATATGGTGCAACTTTGAGACTGTGAAGTCAAGATTCTAAACTGCATATAAAGGGGCAAATACTCATAACTCCAGAGAAAGAGAGCTTGTGTGTTTGTAATTTGTAAATACAGAAACAATAACCAGATGTTTTTTTCTGCGTAACCCATGTAAATGTGTTGTTGTTGGGCCGGTTGGGTTGCGTTGGCCCAGATGCAGATATAGTGGATAGATTTTCTCTAATGAATCTATATATCCACCATAGGGATTAGTTGAGTTGATCACCAAAGTTACATAAGTTGGGATTCAAACTCCATTCAAACCTAGAAAATAAAACCTTTATAATCTTACGACGATGAATTACATTTACTCATTTATGGTTATTTATTATTATATTTTCAATTTTATTTGGATTGAAACAAAATGTAGATTTAGAATATATATACACAACAAAATGTAGATTAAAAAGACAATAATGAAGCATGTTCCAATATTCGAATCTTAATCTTAGCTTTCGAAATGCCCACTCACCAACAACTAATCAAGTTACCGTTAATTAAATCTTAAGCTTTATAAGTCTCTTATCACAAAATAGATAATATTAGCATCTTTGTCATTAAGCTTTTGAAGTCTTTGTCATTAAGCTTTTGAAGTCTCTGCACAAATAAAAAGTTTGACATTAATCAGCATCTTTCACCAAAAACAATAACACGAATCAGCATCTTTATCAAGTACTATTAATTAGTATTAACTATACTACACGTGCTTATAGATATAACTATTTAAGTATTGAAGTGTATACAGAAAAGGATTAAGAGGCCAAGCATTGTGCAGATTAAACAAGACCACACGTGTGTATATAGATTGATGGGTGTCAGAAGCAGCAAGACGGTGGATCCAGTGGTGAGCAGGAGATACTCCTCGGAATCAGAGGCGATGCTTGTGGTGAGGCGAAGACCGCATATGGTGAATGGAGGAGGATTCGTAGTGAGTAATAGCAAGCAACAAGTAGTGTTTACAGTTGAGGGGTGTGGAGTTCTTGGAACCAAAGACAAGCTTGTCTTGAAAAATGGTGATGGTGATGATTTGCTTCTCATCCGCAAAATGGTAACTAACTTTATCTTTATGATACTAGGACTTTTCTTTATAACAAAAAAAAAAGATATTTAGGGCTTTTCTTGTTACCTATTTAATGTCATTTACATCTTTATTAAACTGAGTGTAATAAATTAGTAGCGGCCCTGGTAGGAAGCATTAGAAGCTCCGGATTCTAGCCTATAATAAATATATAAATTTTCGGTCCATTTTTCTTACATTTTATGTAGTGTAATAGTCATGAACACAAACTTTTAGATAGAGTTTATGTGTTCGGTCGTCAAACCTAGAATTTTTTTTTTAAAATATAACTATTTTTGCATTAAAAACTAGTTGGCTTCTGTGGTTTAAATATATCATTTTCAGGGAGGAATGGTGCAAGCACTGAACATGGTACACAAGAAATGGGAAGGTTTTGGATACGATAAAGAAGGAACAGAGAAGCTGCTTTTCACATTGAAGGATCCAAAAGAATCATGTCTGGTTCATCACGGTTTAATCAAAATTTTGGTTCACGGTAAACCAAAGATATCAACCTGCAATGTCTATAACAACAACTATGTCCAGATCAAAGGCTCTTTCGCAGAAAAAGACTGTAACATCATGGATTCAGATGGCAGAAACATAGCTCAGGTAACTCTTCCTAGCTAATAGTGTGACCACGATACGATATATATATAAAAATGTGAATATTTTCTTTTTTCACTCTTTTATTAATATATTTCTTGCTATTATTGGTGTGGCATCAATTTCAAATATCTGACAAATTAGGTTGGAAAATTGGTTTCATATTCGTTACTTTTTTTAAAAAAATATTGATAATGAATTGGGGAGAATAATGCTACTAATAAGTGGAAAGCAGGTAAAGATAGAGAAAGAAATGGAGGAGATGGTGGGGAACAAGAAGGATCTTTATAATATAATAGTCAAAGCAAATGTGGATCAAGCTTTCATCGTCGGTGTCATTGCTATACTCGACTACATCCATGGCGAATCCACTATTTGTTGATCCTTTTCAATTTTCAATTTCAATACAATAAATATATATCTAATATATGTCCAAGACGTGACATATTATTATTAAACCATATAACATTGTAAAACATTTGAAACTCACAACAAACAAACAACAATGTTTACATAATCATAACGATCGAATCTGCAATTCAGTTTTAGAAATTTTAACATTATTTAAAATCAAGCACAAGCGCAAGGATTATCCACCGCCACGTCAGCAGCACCGTCCTCAGATCTGAAAACTAAGTATCCGACGGTTAACCCGACGACGATCGCGATGAAAACGCCTCCGTTGAAGGACATAGCCGCGAGCATGAGCAAGTACCCGATCGCGGCGTTGACGCCGAAGAGGAGCACGGAAGCAGCTTTGGCGGCGGATCTGGTCCCCGATTTGGGGATGAGAGGGGCGGAGACGCCGGTTCGTGGACGCGTGGATGAGAGGGATCTGAATTGGAGGCGGCGGTTCTCGAGGTACTGGTAGAAGGCGGCGAAGACGAAGCAGGCGAGTAGAGTGAGGATGTAACTGAGCCATGAATCGGTTTTCCAGAAATCGAAGAGGATTGTGGCTTTGATTCCCCAGTAGAAGGTCATGTGCATCATCTTTGCGATTGGGGTTTGAGATTCTTCTTTTGATCGTTTCGTCTCTGATAAGGCTGAAGAAGGTGAAGATCGGAAAGCTGTTGAAGTGGTTGTTGACTAGATAAGTATTGTTCTGGGCTCAGATTATAAGCCCAGTGGGCTTACACTAACGAACTTGGTTCTAGAAAAAATTGAAGCAAACCGAATGAACTTAACCAAATGTTGGTTATCACTTCACTCTTCATACACTTTTTTTTTTTTTATAACACTGGTGCAATGGTACAAAGAAAATTCCAAAATAGTACAAAAAGAAAAAATAGAGAAGATAAAAGATATCATTAGACATCAACAGATAACAAAGAAGAAACCCTTCATACACCTATAAGAAGAAAAAATAAATGACATTGACAGTTCTGCGTTTTGATGGAATGTTGTTATTATTGTTTATAGTGCTGCAAATACTATCAACGTCCTCCTGAAAATATGTATGTTAATAGTTTTATGTAAAAATAAGAAATATTAGTAATCCATAATGCTATTAAATAACTGTATATTATCACACATATTTGTCAACAGAAAAATAAAAAGGATTTTTTTTTTCTAATTTGATAAAAAAATAACTTTTAACTTCAAATAAAATATTGAATTTTTAGAATCGACATTTAAGTATGAAGATTATATCAACAAAATAAATCATGTATATATTTTTAATTATATTATATAATTTACATATACTTATCACTATTATATTTTAATTGATTAGCGCATTCGGTTTATTCGGTTTGATCGGTTTATATACCAAACCATATCCATATACCGCAGTTTCTTAAAAATGATATTCATTCGGTATATTTGATAATACCAAATTCAAACCACTTTTTCTCTTTCAGTTCGGTTTGGTTTTAATTAGTTCGGTTTTACCGGATCAATCTTATATATTAAAACAGAAGTCATGACTTGACTTCATGTGTGATTTTTTAAAAAATGGACTATTACTAGAAAATCATGTTACATTAACGCTCTAATAATCTTATCATTATTATATCTTATGAAAAATCATATCTATAGTAACAAATATACGCTTAACAATTTTGTTTTGGTAAATTATCTCATACCTTCCAACTTAGTCACGCAAAATATGTCAAACAATATAAGTTTAGGAATCTTCTATTATTTATAAGGAAATATGTCAATAATAATTAAATGCATCCACAATATATTAACAAAAATCACATATTCGTAATATGGAAAATTTCTATACCCTAACAAAGTTTACACGTTATATATACTAGGTAAATTTATTTCGATATAAATTTTTAAAATTATATTGTTTTAAAAAAAAAATTGTTTAAAAAATCTTTTTTAATAAAATTCTTTCTAATATTAATTTATGAAGCTATAAGTTTAGTTTTTAGTAAAAAGAAAATCGAAGTTTATATTATCTTTGAAAATTAAAGTATACTAATATTTAATCAAGCTCTATTTATATTAATTTATCTAAAAATGAAATACTAATCTAACAAACAATAAAATATAGAAGAAGAAACAAACACATGTTTGAAAAAACATGTATAATATAGAAAATTTGAAATAATCTATTTGATTAAAACACGTATTATATAATATTATTATATTTGAAAAACATATACTATACATATCGTAAATATGTGATTACTATGATATATACCAATTTAAAAATGAAAACAAAATGTTTATATAACTAACTATACACGAAAACAAACACCCGCGCGGTTGCGCGGGTCAAAATCTAGTATTAATCTAAAACTCAAAATCCAGATATGTTCTTCGACTCTAATTTTGTGTCACTTAGAACAAAACCTTACTTTGATCTTCACATGCTTTTTAAAATTATTAAGGGATACAATAATGTATGGAACAGTAGGTACAAATCTTGGTGGGTGTACTCAAAGATATTGATGAAAGGGGCTCGAGATATTTTTAACCCAGCAAAAACTGACCAGAAAATTAATGAAAATAATCAAATTGCCTTTTTATTGAAAACAATTAAGAGACAAATAGAGAACAAAATGCCAAGTTAGAGTGTATAGGACAATGGGTACAAAATGAGGACCCATTGCGGCACTCGAATAGGGAAGTGATGTGAAAACATAACAGATCAAGGCTTGTGTCTCCAATCATACCAAAGCTGAACATATCCACATGTGCCATGTATTCACATATGACAATACATATATATTTATATACATGCATAAGTATATTTTTAACTGGATCTAAATTTTAGTATGTTCTTATTAGGGTTTCGTAAATATTGCTTTGGCTACGTATAAATGCACCAATAATCCAACTATGAAGATATTAAAACTTAGCAACATATGCATCAACAAGATAATTAGTTTATGTGACATAGGCAATTGCCTTATGGTAATGATATGAGAATTGGAGTGTTGCTTACTGATCTATTCTCAACTGTTCTTACTTCTTAGTGATCATGTGGCCCATCCATACAGCATATAAATGATTTAATGATAACTGGAGCAAATAATGTATCATGTACCTGAGTTTAATTTGGCTTTGATGGAGTTTTATACCATTTTTAGTTGTTTCTCCAGTTTATTTATACATTAACTGCTTGTGAAAACTATAGCCTTGTATTGTGTTTTACAATTTTAGTTGGCTGGATTTGGGTGTCGATCAATTTCAAGATCACTGACATAACCAAGTCAGATCAACTAGTCAACTTCTATCAGATCAAATGGGACATTAATAGAGCTATAGCGTCGACATTTGAGATATGAATTCAGAAGAAAGATCTTTAATACTGTTGAGATTTGACGAGATACTTGTATATCTTTCTTGCTTTGCATAGGCTCTTTCTATTTGTACTTGTAATTATCTTAAATTCAATCAATGTATAACTCCTTCTTCTGTATTAGAATTAGGTATAAAGCATTGTTGCATAAAATATGTTCGCTACTGGCTAACACAAAAATACCTTAACTGGCGCTCTAGCTTTTTGACAACTATGATGTTGATGATGTTGCAATTTGAAGGAGGCATACTTAATATTTAAGTCAATTAATCTACTATATCTATATAAGCATTGTCTCACCATAAATTACGTGAACAACATTCCCTGTAGTAAGCATATACGTCGTAGCTATAAAAAAAAAAACATTCGTGAAACATTTCTACTATGAATTTGATACAAAAAAAAAAACATACATATCCCTGTATTACATGAATGTACATTTTTATCAGCCTAGACTAACGTGTCTTTGTCTTCAACAACATCTATTCTAACAAGTTTCAGTAATAGATTTTCATCAAAAGAAGTTTCAAAAAGGAAGATCCTTTTTTTTTTATCTATGCTTTTTATAGCTACGACGTATATGGTTACTACATATTGCACTGCTGACAAACCTAAATATAATATTAGTTACATAGAAAACTTACATCTAATTAAGTTATGTAAGACAAAAAAAGGATATAAATTTATTAAGTACTGCAATATATGAGCTTTGCTCATTAACCATTTTATTAAACTCACTTACGAAGAAAGACTAACGTCACAGGAGATTACATCCTCGGATTCCAACCTTTCTTCTCCATCTGAATTGTTATTAAATACAAAATAACATTATTTAACAAAAAAAACAAGAAAAAACAATAAACAAAAATTTACATTTAACATATTTTATCAAGTAGAGAGAGAAGGGAAACAGCTTCCTGATCGGAGAAGCGACCGTCGTGACGCTACGCCGTCTATCCCCGGCAAAGTCCCGCTAGAGCTCGACCTCGTGGTGGTCCTCCGTGGAGAGCCGTCGAGGCTCCGTCGTAGAATCCTTCCAATGACTGAAATGGGATCTTCCTCCTCGTCTGGACTCCAAGAACGGAACTGGTGGCAGAACGTAGTATGCCGACGGAGAGCTTCCTCGACGGAGATTCTCGTCGGAGAACGAACCACCTCGTCCTTAACCGCCTCCGCGCAGAGTCCACAAAGCCAGTGTCCCTTGTGCCGTTCCTTGACGCGGTGGATGTAAGCCAGTGTGCATTCCTCGGTAAAACCGCACGTGTCGCACGTGACTGACTCAACCGCCGGCAGTGACGACGGCTTGATGATAGTATCGGTGGCTGATGATGACATGACTGAGATCAGACTTATAAAACTCTTTGTTATTAGAATCTCTGGTTTTTCTGCATTTAAGGTTATATTATTCAGACATATGGTCTTACTTGGATGTTTATATAGATATACATGGAGACATATGTCTCTGTTATTTATTTATTTTTTTGTTTAAGAAAATTAATGTTAAATAATGTGAGGTTGTAGGAGGATTTGGATTCATGTGAGCGGGATAATGTGGTGGGAAACTTTTTGTTTGTTTCTTAAAAACTTGCATGTGGGTGTGGATGTATAATAATTGAATTTCGTTTTGAGTAAGTAGTAAATTCATAAAATAATTATGCAAACTTTGCGGTTAAAATATTCAGTTTCCTAAATATGAAATCGTAATCTAAATACTCCATGTGGAGCAAGATAACACAAAAGGTTGCCTAAAGTAAACGAGAGTTTGCCATAAACATATATAGCTTTTACTAAATCTATGATGAAATGTAAAAATAGTGCTTGATGTCTGCCGAAATGAGATTCTACTTGATGTGATTCCACATAAACAATTGTAAAAACCTTAAATATCAACAATTAAGTCTTTCACAGGTTTCACAATTAGCTCAGAGCCCAATTTAGACAACGGCCATGATTACTTTTGTATATAAAAAAGAAACTTGATCCTATACATACCTAGTCTATATTCCATTTTAATTTTTGTTGTACATGTGTGTGGCTATAGCTATGTAATAATTTACCAAGAAATAAGATAATTAACCAGAGGGAATAGAATCAATAGATCGTAAAATGTTCTATTTATGTGCTTGCTAAACCTGTCGAGATGGAGTCACTAAGAATGAGCAAATAGTGCAACGTATGGCAACATGTGATCACTGTTCAGGCGATTTAAAGAAGAAGAATGTGTTACTAAATACTAACTAATTACTTGACTTCAATTCATCAACCATCAGTCTAATGTCAATAGATGGTTGCTTAAAACCATATGCATAGAGAAGTGTGGACCTGAAATTGAGGTTATCCGTCGATGGATCGATGTGAATGTTATCGGGTCCAAACAAAAAGTGAGGTGGTCCATGTTTTCCAATGGAAATAGCTGAGAAGGTACCTAGTCTTTGAAGCAATCTCTATTGGCGAGGTGGTGTGTCTTTGGTTAACATCCTATATTTTTTAACTTGTTTAAATTTAGTGTATGTAATTACTTTATGCAACATTGACGTGTGAAACAAAGCCTACCACTACAAGAAAACATCAATTTTGCCACTGCAGTTATAGTTACAGAATAGTGGCAAATTAGCTAATTGAGATTATTTTGCGACTACGGCTGGAAGTTGGAAAAAGCTCGTCGCAAAGTACGAGAGTTGCAAAATAGTTCTTAAAGTGCGACCAATATGTAACTCTTTTATTAGTTATAGTTTTGTGTCTAATTAGCGACACCCAATGTAATTGCAATAGATTGTAGTGACTTAGTAGTTACATAATTTTGTGACTGAATTGTAATATAATTGCAACATATTTGAGACGAACATCGTTAATTCACTACTTTTAAAAAGTTTGG